TGATTAGAACAATTAGGAGAGCTAACCTGACTATTCTCCTGGGCGAGGCCTAGAGAACACAACCTATCATCAGAAATCCAAATGATGGCCTTCTCAGATTGGTGATGGTGACAAAGAACACCACCATGATGAAGAGTAACTGTAACTCTTAAGTCTAATAATGCTCAAGCCACGGGTTGACCTGTCCAAAGAGAAGTAACGCCCACGTGAGCTCATGAAAAGCCTTCTTCGCTAATTAGACTGAAAAGTGGCAATCCTTCACTAACGACAAGCTGGGGTCTTGTACTGTTTAGCTTAGAACATCTTCATCTGAAACCAGTGTCCTATAACTGCAGCCCTAACCTCTCTGGCCATCTTCCTCTACACCAATGATAGAATTCACCTACTATAAATCACACTTTGCCTAAACAGAAGATTCTAATGCACATTTCAAGCCAAAAGCTGTAAAATCTCACAAAATGAGTAATAAGACTTTTATTTTTAAGCAAACAAAAGTGTGCTGGGAACTACACCTGCATATTCCTACAGTACTTATAACATACACTTGATCTGGCAATATGTTCTGTCACCAGAATCAAGCAATACCTTGGGGAACCAGGCCAAGCCTTTGTTTCTTTCCCCATTTCACAGATGAGGAAGATCATGCTCTGAGAGGTAAAATGGTATTCCAACGGTCATGGAGGCAAATGCTGAGGCAAACACTAACACCTCCCTACAGAGCCTGGGGACAGGACACTTTCCTCCCCACCATCAGCTCAGACACAGCTCCTGGCCAGGTTTGGGCTGGGGTTCCAAACCACAAATGCATGCAAACCCAGTGTCCAGGTTGTTATAGCCCAGTTCATACCCAACTCCAAATACATACCATTTTATCACGGAGCGGGTGACTTGAAAAAACAAACATGAAGTCTACATGTCAACCAAAGCATGCCTCCATGCAGGGACACATGTCAAACACTGCCAGGAAGTGGGATCTTCTAGGCAGCACTGGAGAAGCCTGAATGAAGGGCTGCTGGGCTCTGCATTCCAGGCTCTGTGGGAGGCAGGCACAAGTAGGCATGAGCCAAACTCTGCAAACACAGTGACCTAATTCCATTACGGCAGGCAGCTGAGAACCAGTGAGGTGACTTTCTTCTCCCCAGGCCTTAAGCAGAGCTGTTATCTCCACTTTGTTGGAAAACATACACACAATTTTAAAGTGGGACTGATTCTTTGGTTATAGTTGACTGCAAAATGAAAGAGAGGCTGGTTCTTTCAGCAGAAACTGCATCTGATAGCTTCTGTGAATACTGTACCTTTACCACTGAAATTTAAGGACTAAGCCAGGATTCACACGATTGATAGGCCCAGGATGGTGGAAAGTAGCAACCTCTAAGAACTGAAATTCTTACAATGATGGGTGTGAACCTCCAGAGAGAAGCTGGGAAGTGGAGAACAAGAGATGGTGACATTACAACTGAGCAAATATATTTAGGGAGCAAGTATTCAACTGGCATTTACCCTTCACACCTCAGCCAGATAGGGGTGAAGAAACCCATGAAGCCAGGGAGTGCTGTAGTGCAGAGGGACACACCTGCCAGCTCCTTCTGGTGAGGAGGGAGTATCCCCAACTTGTACAAATGACTCTCGCCCATGCTCAGATCCAATCCAGCACACTGCAGCCACTGGCCAGAGCTGTATGGACCACAAGGCTGGGTGCCAGAATAGCAGCTCATTAGTCCTGGGGGTGGGTGGCTCCCCAGGTCTTCCCATCACCCTTCCAGGAAGGGACCAGAGACTTTTGCCATCCAGCACATGTCCCTGCTCCACCACTTGTAAACTTTTCAGACCTGGAGCCTCCATTTTCCCAACAGTAAAAGCAGTTCAACAATACAATCTGGAAGGCATGAAGCCAAGCTCAAGTGTGACAATGGACAAATCCCTACGTATGAACTCAACAATATGCCCTCTCAAGACTATTGTATCTGGGTTGCAAAGAGGAACTAGGAGGTCATTTTAAGAGTATAGTAAGTCACAGTCACTAATGCATGAAAAGCCAAGGGACGGGGAGAAGGAGAAATACACTGACAGATTGGAGCATTTGGTTCTCTACATAGGTTAAGTGAGCCGTCACCAAACCAAGTGATATTTATGTTCTTATATTCCAGGTGTCTAGACATTCTAACGCTTTAAAGAACATATTAAATAGTCTTCATTAATACATTCTGTTAAAAAGTAAGCCCATCAATCCATTCAATTAAAAAACAATCCAGATTTGCATCCTGTCCTGAAAGAGAAGAAGAGGGCCCACACAGAACACAGCCTCCCTCTGCACACACCCATTGTACTTGCTGACCCCCAAAATGGAAGGGACCCCAGCACTGCTCATTTTTCCCCACAACAAGCATCATGATTCCTTCTGAACTGTGGTTTCAGTTTGACCACCCAGCTCATTGCTTTGTGAATCAGGGCAAGTTAATTAGACCATCTGAACCTCCTATCTTCCTATGGCTTACAGTATCTGGGTTATAGCATTGCTCTGAAGGTTGCTCAAGAAATAATGCACTGAGCTCAGAGTCAAGAGAAGGAGCTGAGCACATGTGAATCCTTTTCTGCCACCCTCATTTTTAAACAACCAACACTATCACCAGCAGCACAGAGACCCAGTAAAACAACCAAAGCATGATGACAAGGAGGCCCCTAAGTGGTGATACTACTTCACCTGGGCCTACAGACTCCACATTCTTGAGTGGTTTCATCAGCTCTCGGCTGGGTGGGGGGTGGGGGCTGTAGGTGGAAGAACAAGATTCCCAGCCAGGAGTGAGGTCCTCTGGCCTGGTGCCCTTTGCTACCACTTATCAGTCCTCATTGCAACACCTGGGAGTGCTGGGCCCTGGGGAGGATGCAGAATTGGCCCCAAGCACAGGAAGCCTGAGGCAGCAGGCAGAGGAGGCTGGGGCAATGTGAAGGGCAGGCAAGATCTCTGAGCACAGACAGTAGCCATACCACTCCTGAGGGTGGCTGAGGCCACAAGCCAAACAACAGTCTCAGCACAAGCAAGGTGGCAGGCACTTGGTTCATCAGTGTCCCACCTATGCCTGAGTAAACTTATGTGTCTACAGTACACAGCAGACACTTGTGGCCTGATCTTGCCCAGGCAGCTGCTCATTTTAACTTCTTCTAAGGGACACACAGTCACACTGGACATTTTGCCTGCACGGTACATGTTCTTTCGTGTTCAGCTTAATTCTCTTACTGAACGTTTCAGGTTCATCCATATGACAGCTGTACCTCACTTCTTTTTCTTGCTGAGCAGTATTCCAGCATGTGACTATACTGGTCACCAGTGAGCTCTCAGGTTCACTCCACTTTTAACTATCATGAATAATGCTACTGCAACAACCTATCTGCAAGTTTTCTTGGTGGGGAGATAGTTAATCGTAGCACCGCTGGCTTACACGACACTTCAGTTTCACTTTCTGAGAGACTGCCAAGCTGGCTCCAGAGTGCCTGTTCCATGTTAACATCTCACCAGCAGCATATGAGGGTCCCTATCTCCCCATGTTCTTGACAATAGTTATTGTCATTTACAATGACACCCCAGCCACCCCAGCAGATGTGAAATTGTGTCCTTGTGGTTTTGATTTTAATTGCCCTATGATGAATGATACTGAGCATTTGTTTATATGCTTTTAGAGAGACATCTAGAGAAATCTTTTGACTTTTCTTAACTGGGTTGTCTTCCTCTACATGGAAGTTGTAGAAGCCCTTCCTTAGAAGTGTGATGTGCATATGTCCAACCCCAGACCTCTCCTGCATGCTCCGGCCAGTGTCTGCTGCCTCGCTGCTGTCAGTGATTAAGGGCTTAAGTAAAGCCAGAGGGAAAGCCGCCACGCCTGGCATAGGAAAGCCTACAACTAAAGATGTGCTTCCTCAGTCACTTCCCAGGGGCAAAGAAGGCAGGGCTTTCATTAACAATAGTGCAGGGCTAGGACCCAGACAGGAGGGGCTCCAGGAGCCCTCCCCACGGTCCACACTCCAGTAAGCAAAACCACCTGTGAAAGCCACTCTGCCACACCACCACAGTGGTTTGGGAGGGGTGGTAGGGGTCTAAACTCTCAAAAGAGCCAAACAGGGATGGAAAGGAAAAACCACTTTTTCTATTTACTACCAAGTGCAGAAAGTGAACAGCATGTGGCACTCATAACCAGGAGAGAGAACACACTAGTCCACATCCTGCCAAGTTGACTTCAGTGCCTCTCCCTGCTGGCACAGCAGATGTGCAAGGACAAAAACCAGAGTCCAATCTGCACTTGAGGATGAGACCGCTTGGGATCTCACTGCAGCTCCATGGTGATGACCAATATCCCTGAGGGGACATGAAAGTCCCATGTGGTTTTGCTTCATGTGAGCAAACTGCAGCCCCAGACTACAGGACTAGGGGGGTGCTGCACACGAGTTCGTAAAGCACGGAGGTGCGTGTACTGGTGCTAGAACCTTGTGGAAGCTTCCAGCCATCTCATGTGTGTTCACATCAGAAACAATGCCAAAATACAAGGAATGTGGTTGGAGTCGGGATAAGACAAGACAGAAGGGCAAGATTTCTAGTGTGCCATTGGAGCCAGGGTCTGCAAAGTACCTTGAGGATTATACCACATAATCCTTGATACAATCCTGCAGTAGGGTTATCATCATTCCGATTTCAGAGATGAGAACACCAAGTCACAGGGATGTTAAGTAACTGCCCCAAGTCCAGACAGTGGTACCCAGAAGGAATGCATACACACAAACAGTCCGCACAGCAGCAGACGACTGTGTTCCTATCCAGAGTACATGCTCTGACATGGGGGTAATTGTCTAATTTTAATGAAAACGTCAACATATGGGATACAAAATCCTTTTCTCATTTTTCTCTTTTCTCCCCAGAAGCCAAGACACGAATGACCTGTACTGAGCCCACGCCTCAGTCCCCAAGTGTCTCCTGACACATGCTGCAGCTCACAGCGCATTGCAACCGGAGAATGGGGCTCAATCTGACACTCACAAAGCCACCATGTAAGCTACGGATGTTTTCTCAATGACCATTTAGAGCCTGTGGAGATGTGCGTTTTGATGGTCACAGAACCACCAAGCCAGCCATCAGCCTCACTTCTCTAAGTATAAAATAGCAAACACTGGGGAATTCAACTTGCTATCACCATATGGTAAACTTTGATTCATGTAGACACCATCGCTAAAGGACAAGGATGAAATCAATCACATTTGAGCTCTCTTTTAAAACCCAAAGTAAAGTACATACTTTTCATATTTAATAGTCTAAACCAAAGTTCACAAAGGTTCCCGAGGAGGCCAGACCTGCTCTACTGGGTGACTCTGTGGAAAATGATCATGCAGGGCCACTGGGCCATGGAAGTGACACCCTGTAATTTGTATGGCTTTATTATTTCATTCCCACCTGGCAGGAAGGGCAGTGACATAGGTTGATACTTTCACATTTTGTGCCAGAGCAGCACGCCCCAACAAGTAATGATGTAACTCAGCAAGGGCAAACATGCCAAGATTCTCCTACCACGAACAATGTGGCTGTTAACAAGACATGCTGTGTCTTGGTGATCAGCGCCGTATGTGTACAATGACAGAGCACCTACTCTGTACACTGTGTTAAGTCGTGTTTCAAAGCACTGGGCTCTCAAGTGACCCAACAAAACAGCTGCTATCTATAGTGCTGTACCAAGTCAGTAAGTGGCAGAGCCAGCACAGCCCTAGAGGACGTTCTACAAGGATGGAAACTCGCCCTTTCAGTACTGGCCAGTACAGTAGCTATAGGTAGCTATTAGAAAACTTGAATGTGGCTAGTGCAACAGAAACTGAATTTGTAATTGTGCTTTAATTTAAATTTTAAAAATCACAGAGCATTAGTGAAAAATTTGGCTACAAGGCCCATGCATTACTCCAGCACAAACACACACACACACCCCTGTATAAGCACATACATACCAGAGAGCAAATACATCCCTGTACAAATGCACATCCACACAGGAGCACACACACCCTTGTACAGACACACACACACAGGTGCACAAACACCACTGCATACACACAACCCTATATAAATGTACATACCCCCCCATACAAATGCACACAGCAGCACACACACACGTGCCCTATACAAACACACAAAAGAGTGTACACATACCACTGTATAAACGCATACCCAGGAGTACACATGTACCCTGTACAAACGCAGTTCTCCCACCTGCCAAACACACAGGCTTGCAGCATCAACACCACCCTTGCACGAGGCACAAAAGCACTTTTTATGGAACTAACTCTTTATGTGCCATTGTGTTTCTGAATTGGAGGAGAAGCAAGGAGTCCCATCTGCTCTTGGTTACCCTTCTGTATGGAGTCCTAAAGTAAACAACACAGGGAATACCATCCTAGTAAGAAGGACCGTGTGAGAAAATCACCCTCTTCCCAATAGTAGCTTTTTAAGTAAATTGCCAAGCTACAGTCATACAAAATGTTCCCCAATTTGGCCATGTTCTCTCATGGCAGTGAAGAACATGATAAAACTGCCTAGAGGGAGGAAGCCAGTCACCTCTAGTGAGCAAAGGGAGCTCAGCACACACCTGTAAGTTTTGGGGGATGCAGCAATGGGGAAGAACTGATGGGAGTTGCTAATTCTAAAGTCCAATCAGTCATACAAAACTCTTGGTAGGTTGTGTTTCTGTCTTGTGGTGCTAGAGGCAGGCCCAGGGCCTGTGCGTGCTAGGCACAGCCCTCAGTGTTAAGCTTTGAATCTTTCATGAAAGAGTGGCACAGAGATGGTACATCCTGCTCCTTAGGAGCCACTCTGGTTCTCTGCTACCATATTATTTCAGAAAATATCCATCAGAGGCTCTAACCACTAATTTGTTTAAGTTGTACTGTAAATTGTAAATGTGGAATTTGTGAATGAGGTAACACATTCACCTAAGCCCAAGCCCAGCCCATCGAAGGAAGGAGGTCTATGTCCCAAACGTTGATTCTGCTCAGCCACCAGGGAGGCAAACACTGTGAGGTGACAGAGCTACAAGATAGCTTTGTGAACTGAGGGGTGAAGCCATGCATGCTGCATATTTTATTTATAAGATAGAGCACCTATATCAGACTTCTTTTGGCATCCCAATTTAAGACTCTATCTTGAATAATAACCATAATTGCTAGGTAAATTATCATTTAATAAGAGTGCTTGTCTGTATAATTAAACTTTAAAATATAATGATATACTGAACAGACACATAATCCCCACGAGCACAGAGAGAGAAGGATGGCTCTTCCAGTGCTCAGGGATACGTGCATAGATCCAGAAGCCAGCATTCAGGGTCACCATGCCCAATGCCCAGAGGCCATGATTAAGAAACTGTTCTAACTTGCATTTACAATTGCTTTGAAAATCAATTCCTAAGTGACTGTTCGAAGACACAGCCATCATGTCAGGAGATGATGTAGCTGTGTCCCTCAGCTGACTGAAACTAACTTGTCCCCTGCACTTCCCTATGGCTCTACACCAGGTAAGATCAAAGTGGCAGGTAATAGTTTAATGAGAGCACTGACAAACAGGTATCTAAGCTATGCTAAAGCCACACTTCTTAAGAAACTTCTAAGGGCTTTGATTTGGATCTTGTGGTGCAGAAACATCCAAGAGTGCACCAGTGTATTAGATCCAATCAGGCCTGAGAATATCTGAAGCTGGAGGTAGCAGTCAACATAGCAGCTCAATCAAGCATTTGAAATGTGCAGAGCTTCATGACACCGTGGGTCTCCTAACAGGCTAGTCAGGCTAGTCCAGTACAAATAACTAGCCTGTGTAAGGATATTTAGACCAGGAAAGCCGTATTTTAAAAACCCAGCAAAGAATAAAAGGAGAAGAATTAGAAAGAGGTCCAGGTCACTGGAGAAGAACCCACACTTAAATTCAGGCAGTAATTTAAGAACCTGATTCTGGACCACAGCCATCAAAACTGTCTTTCCTGTTTCACTTCTTTAAAGAAGGGAATCAAAGCATACAGCAACCTTCCTCTCATAGGAAAATGAGCTCTACACGCGTACAGTTCCCTGTAACAAAATCACTCCAGAACATAACTGCGCGGGACATTATTAACTGGTAGGAAGTAAAAGTCAGAAATGACCTTCCCTCTCACCTTAAGCCTAGAAGAGAGTCTGTGAGCCGTGCTAGTTCAGGCTCTGCTAACAGCAGAGGAAAGTGTGTGTGCGTGCGGGCACGTGTGTGAGTGTGGGGAAGTGGAAAGAGGCGAGAGGCTGGGACCCCCACGCAATTGGAGGAAAAAAGGGAGGAGAAGGTTCAGCACTTTTCAGAGGTGGAACAGTTTTAAGAAAGTTCCACCAGACAGTTCAGCAGTCTATGGGCCACTAGTGCCTTGGCAGGGGCAGGAGCAAAGGCAGGGCCATGCTGACCTGAGCCTCCCCACTGACGTCAGCAGGAGCCCCAGGGCCAGCCCCACTCACATCCTGTGCTCCTCACACGGGAGACAGAGAGGTCACTTTCATGGCTACTGCAAATCAAACTCACCAGTTCCGCAACAGAGTGGTACGGTAAAAATCTTTAATCGCAGGAATCAAGATCCCAAAAGGCAAAAGATTTTGTAAAATCACAGTAAACACAATAGGTACAATCTAGCCTGGTGAATAAGGGAAATGTAGCTACCTACAATTACTTTAACAAGCTGCCTTCCTGGGTGACAAGCCTAAATATTAAGAACAAGAAAACAAAAGCAGCATTTTTCACTGGACTCCACAGAGCATTTACTTGTGGGAAAATGCTCTTAACCACACACACACACTTGACTGAAAAAGGCACCCCATCACTCCGCAGTGTGGATTATAATCCAAAATGGATTACTTGCAATAATTCCACACCTATCTTTGACTTGAGTCCTATTTAAAATGAAATCAGACCTGAAAGAATCACCAAGCCACATTTACTTCTACTCTGAACTTTGTTACTTTAGAAGACAGATTTTTTTTTTTTTTTTTTTTTTTAGTCAAAAGAGAATAAAGGCTAGATATTTCATTTCTGTTCCTAACAATGGCTCCCAAAAAGCCCTAGGTATTATGAGGAGGTCAGGAGCACACAACTCAAGGTGACTCCATCCTTTTACTGGAAGCCTGAAGTTCGTGCACATGCATGTCATACTGACCTGACTCTCTCCACCCTACAGACACTGAGCCACCGCGTGGCCCAGGAAGCCTTGCACCCAGCAACACCAGTGATGGGCCAGAGAAGAACAGCACACTTCACAACGAATTCGACACCATTGTCCTGCCAGTGCTATATCTTGTCATATTTGTGGCAAGCATCCTGCTGAATGGCCTGGCAGTGTGGATTTTCTTCCACATTAGGAATAAAACCAGCTTCATATTCTATCTTAAAAACATAGTGGTGGCTGACCTCGTAATGACACTGACGTTCCCTTTCCGAATAGTTCATGGTGCAGGGTTTGGACCGTGGTACTTTGAGTTCATCCTCTGCAGATACACCTCAGTTCTGTTCTATGCAAACATGTACACATCCATCGTGTTTCTTGGGCTGATAAGCATCGACCGCTACCTGAAGGTGGTGAAGCCGTTTGGGGACTCCCGCATGTACAGCATAACCTTTACCAAGGTTTTATCTGTGTGCGTCTGGGTGGTCATGGCTGCCATGGCCCTGCCCAACATCATCCTAACCAATGGTCAGCCAACTAGAGAGAACATTCACGAATGCATGAAACTCAAAAGTCCTCTGGGAGCCCAGTGGCATAAGGCCGTCATCTACATCAACAGCTGCCTGTTTGTGGCAGTGCTGGTGATTCTCATCGGGTGTTACATTGCCATATCCAGGTATATCCACAGGTCCAGCCGGCAGTTCGTGAGCCAGTCGAGCCGCAAGCGGAGGCACAACCAGAGCATCAGGGTGGTGGTGGCTGTGTTCTTCACCTGCTTTCTGCCCTACCACCTGTGCAGAATCCCCTTCACTTTCAGCCATCTGGACAAGCTTTTAGATGAATCTGCACAAAAAATCCTATATTACTGCAAAGAAATGACTCTCTTCTTGTCTGCCTGCAATGTGTGCCTGGATCCCATCATTTACTTCTTCATGTGCCGGTCATTTTCAAGAAGGTTATTCAAGAAATCAAATATCCGAACCAGGAGTGAAAGCATCCGATCGCTGCAAAGTGTGCGGCGCTCGGAGGTGCGAATATACCACGACTACACTGACGTGTAGGAGGAGCCATGAGGCCTCCCATGTCTGCTGGAATTGATGTGTACAAAGTGTGAATAAATGTTTATTTTCACTATCCTGGCTGGAGTCCATAAGCATAGGGATGAAAAAAGAACATGGCATGAAATTGGGTCATAATTTGGAATAATAAAGCAAGGCACAGCCCAAAGTGAGATAAATGAGAGGTGGCATGTGGCTGAATGGCAGGGCTCACAACTCACAGATGAAGAAGCCGATGGAGAAGGAGAGAGCACCACAGCCACGTGGTGCAGGCAGACATGCTGCTGCTCTGAAGTCACCTTGGCAGAGAACAGAAAGCGTAGAGAATTCTTACAGTCTGATGTTTCTGTGGTTTATTTATTTGCATAACCAAGTCAATATGCATCAACAAACCCTCTTTCATTCCATATATAAACCATCTAAGACCAGTGACCATCACCCCTGTGTTCATCATGCACATAAGAAAATAGGTGTGACATGGGAGTGGGCTTAGGATGAAGTTTAGCTGTATTTTTAAGTAACAGTGATCATGTCAAGTTCAACTAACTGATTTTAAGTAAGCTACCTCAGAGAAACCAATGTGATTGAATATTATGAAGACTTTGGATATAACACTCTGAAGTTACATTTACCATCGTTATAACTTTATGATATATTTAAATCCTATATGCTAATGGTAGAGAAGAAAACAGGAATCCTGGTTTATCAAATGGCCATTTAACAGTCCCGTTATTTAAAAACAAACAAACAAAAAACTAATAGTAAAGTGCTCTTCTCCATAAAGTATGCCAAGCCTCCAGCAGGGCTGTCATTAATTTAAAGACATAACTGTAAGATGAAGGACAGTGTTCACTAACTCAAGAGTGATCACTTGAATCTTAGGATGGTCTCTCTTTCTTCAACACATACCTGGGAGCCACTGTCAGCTGTGTGAGCACTAGTGCAGGCCCCGAGGTGCTCTGAGCCTGTGCAGGGCTAAGGAAGCATCAGCTGAGTAAATGGAGAGCCTCACAGCTAACAACACACAGCATAGCACAACACTACATTTGCACTTTTGTGAGCTCTCTGCAAATTTCAAAGAAGTGAAAGTAAGCAAACATTAGGGAGCAGAAGTAACTTAGTCCAGCAAGGGCTGCCATCATCAGGTGTGGGGACTGTGAAGTGTGTAGGTAAGCAAGTCAGTTCGGTCAGAAGAGTTCGTGCAAGGGGTTTAAAGAATTATCTGACAACTTCTATCACTATCCAAATTTATACCCCATAAATGTAAGGGGCATTTAAGCACATGGATTTTATACATCTCACCTGGCCATGTGCGTCACCGCCCCTACCCCAACTGTGCACCACACACTGAGGCGTTGACTGGATAGTGGTTAGCACAGCTGCCTTCCAACTGTGCACCACTGCCTAGATTAGGACAGGCATGCTGTTGATGCCAGGATGAGTCACACCAGCCCCACACAGCCAGGAACACACCTTCAGGACACTGACTGCCCTGCCCACCACACGAAGCTCCCAGTCAGGAGTCTCAAAACTGCCATCACCCACTTCACTATTTATAGGTGCTGTTGGATGCATAGTCCCAAAGACAAATGCCAAGGTGAAGAAACTGCCCTGGTAAATAGCCTACAGTGGATTTAATCTGATTCATGCCCCATTTTGTGTTTCTAAAATTGGGCTGTGTGTAGTTAATGGACACACAATGTGATGTTTGTTTTATTTCTCTTAAGTGGCATTGCTAAATCAATGAGACCTCTTAAAAAACGGACTGAGAAAAACAGAGCATTATTATCCCCATTTCTAACAAGTCACATGACAAAACCCATTGAAATCACACTACTTGTATTTTACATCAATTCTGACTGCGCTCACAAAAAATACTTACCCAGGCCAAAGAATGAATCATTTACTGAATGAAATAATAGCAACAGGCATAACATAAATTACAGCACCGTGAAAAGTCAGAAAGCAGTACACAATATTCCATGAAATGTGATAGAAATAAGAACACCATTTGGCTGTTTCTAAAAAATTAAAGAATAATTCTGAAATAATCTCAAATATGGAACATGTAATTTCTTATTTAAGGTTTCAGGGCTACACAGCATGAAAGCCCTTATACAAAATGCATGGGGCCAAGAGTTTCAAATTTCAGAAATGGGGAGATTTTGGAATATTTGCATGAATATTTCACATAGACCTTACACATTCAGCCTGAAGGTCCCGTTCTACAATCTCTTTAGTGTGCCTGTGTTCTGACTGATCCATCCCGAGGGCAGGTGTACAATTTCCCACCGGTGCTGTGTCAGATTTTGGGGCATTTTTGATTCCAAATTTTCATATTAGAGGAACCTCATGTATACTCAAGTTTTTCAGGATCCACTCACACAGCAACAAATTCCATATTTATTCTTCCTTAAAGGCGGAAGAGAAGCACATTCAGAAGAATTTCCACAGGAAAGTTTAATATTCTTCATAAAACTTATATTCAAAGAAACTGAATCTTGGAGATCTTTCAATTTGTGTATGACTAGCTGTCATATTTATATTAAACTACTTCACAAATAATTGATTCTCATTTCCAAACACTATACCGGTATTTTTCCTCAGCTGAAGCTTCAAGGGAATACTGCCTAGAAAATGCATAAATGTAGATTAAACACTCCTGACAAAATGGTGTGTGTGTGTGTGTGTGTACACACATGTGCTCATACATGTGTACAAGAGAGGGCAGCTTCAACAAAGAAAGTTTATAATCACCGTGGGGAAGTGAGAAATATTACAAAAAATACAGTTAAGAGGAAGACAGAATAAAGCTCCAAGATCACATAAATCTTATAACTATTCTCTACCCCCTCCAGTAAATACCACAAGAAGCCAACAAACCAGTCAATAAATATTAGGCACATATACTAAACAGTGCTGAGAATGCTGTAATACAACCTTTCCATATCCCTAAGTGACCCCTAAAAATAAATACTTCCTACGATAAGCATTTTCACAGTTCAGCATAACCCAAGCATCTGGTAGGTAAGAATTTAACTACCTCCCTAGGTCCCCAGCCCCATCTAGTGGTGAAACTCATACAGCAGGCACGTGTACACAGCATGTGACCATGCAGCAATGTGGTCTTGCCTCCTTCAGACTTCTGCAAGGCAAGGTAAGCACACACCCCAGAGCCCTCACAAGGAGGTGCCGTGCAGACACACAGGAACAAAACCGAAGCAGCTGCTGTGGCACGGAGTTCATGGGGAAATCTGCAAATATTTAACACTTTCCAAGTTAACTTATTAAATTAAAAACAAAATGTAACATTATTTCCACTGCACACACCAAAAAAATCGTCACTAGAATGGAAGAGGAAGGAATAAGACTGTCAGTTTTAAATTATTAAGAACCTCACAGGATTCAGATGGCAACTTCATTTTCAATGTGCGTGGTTTTCTTATAAGACACCCATGATAAGAGCTCACCTAAAATACTAAATGGTAAGATGTAGCCCTTAGGGTGCACCTCTCTTCCTCCGCGTTTGGAACCTCAGGATAAGGAATTAGAACTTCCATTATTTCCAACAGTTAGGCAGGCAAACATTCCACTGCACAGGAGAACAGCTTGTGGCTATGCCCTGGCATTCTGCAGAGTGACTCTCAGAAATGAGCCGCGAGTCTGATTTTAAGCCTCTCGTATCAGCAAGGTTCTACTGAGTCACCAATTCTTGGGTCAGCAAGTCCAAGTCCAGGTCTGAATGTCTTACACCTGACTTTACAGCCCACTCCAGACACAGATGCACACACACGCAGACAAACACAGAGCACGCATAACCAGGATGAAGGGAGTTAGTGTGCAGAATGTGACTCAGTCCTTTACATATGATCATTTTAAAACAGCCTGAAAACTTATCTGATGCTTCAGACTGTTACTACAGCCTCAACCAAAACACTGTGAGGCTGAAAGTCATCTGTCAGCTACCAACAATGAACTGTATGTCTTTCAAGAAGCCTGCAGTGTTCACACGTGCCTTTGAACTCACTTGCCTTCTTAGTGTTTTTTCCAGCCTCCCACATGCCTGTGGCTTGTGGAGCTGCATGCTCCTTTCTAAGTTGGAATCACTTCCAGCATTCTAGCCTCTGCTTTCGATGACTGCAGTGACCAGGAGTTCCTGGACCGTGAGGGTTCTTGCTGGCTCCACTCTCCCTGGACAGCCGACCTCTCACCACACCATTCTCACAAACAGAAGTACATTTCCCCTTCATGGGGCTCACATTTCACAGTCTGAGAGTTCCACTGCATTTCCATTTGGCTCAGATTTTCCTTCCGGCATCAGCACTTGGGTTTTTTTGATGTGCACTTGCCTTCGTTGGTCACTTCTCTTTCTATTTCCTTTTTGTAAAATGCCTGGTACTGCTGCTGGCAAACAAGGAGGCAACACATGAGAAACATGCTGCCTGTGCATGAACTGAATAACAGATGTGCGAGAGTGAGATGGTCACTCATGTGTTATTTACATGGTAACCTGTGAACTGGAAAGCTAGCAATGCAGTTTGTGCTGATGCAATAATTCACAGATAAAATACTGTGGTAGCTAAAATGCAAACTGTGCTGCTGAGAGACTGGTACTATTTAACTAAATTATAATATCCCAAATGCGTGCATGTCAGAACTGTGAAACCAAGGACACCTTCCTCTTTGTGTGTCATCATGATCACAGTATACAGGAGAAGCAGAGAAATGTACAGAGGGATGTGCAGTGTAAGGTGGGAACTGGCAGACGCAGTACGTAAGATTTTCCTCACCCATTCCACGTGAGCCCACAGGAGGCTCACTCTGTACACACAACTATGTGGATTCAGCAGCTGCCAGTGCCACTGGTGACCAAAAAGCCACTTCATCACCCCCACTGATGAAGTAGGGGCCAGAATGAATCACTCTTGAAAAACATTCCAAATAAAATAGGTATTTAATAAACAGAGGCTATATTACCATACAAATTAGTTGGGGTATATAAA